TCTCTTTAACTGTCTCTGGAAATCAATGGAAAAGGTATCCTCGGGTGAGGATTTAAAAAAAAAAAGACACACATTAAATGTTGATAATTTCTGAAACTGGTTGCTGGGTACATGGGGATTGTTACACTGTTCTCTCTCCTTCTGTGTAGGTTGGAAAGTCTCCATCTTAAAGCTTTTTTTAAAAAAACAATGCTTACTTGTGAAAGAAAAGTATGCAATGAGTACAAACCTGTCATACTGACTGGCAAGCCCCAGGCCAATCAAAGGGGCAGGAGCATCCCCATGGCTGTAAGGTCAAAACCAAACAGACCACGGGAGGCTCTGTGTCTGAAAGATAAACGGGGAGCAGGAGGAAACCACACTCCCCCAACTGAAGCACTGACCTCCCCAAAGATGGCAGGCATGTGTGTGAACAGTGAGTGGAAGCTCTCTATTCCTGATGCCACTTAACCGGGGGGCGACGGAGGGATGTGCCTGAGTGACGACGGAGGAATGCTTTGCCCCTGAGAGTTGGACAGGCTTTAGCTTTGTCTCTCATAACGGTGAGGCCGTGTGAGCAGCATTTTAAAAAACAAGGTAGCAGGACGTGTATTTAAACACAGAAAATAATTCAGGAGTAACAATAGAGCACGTCTTCCTTTATACTTATTATTGCTGTAAAAATGTGTTGGTGTATGAATCCTTTCCATTTTGCATTTAAGGACTTTCTAATCATGAAAAAGGCATACTTATAGTTCATCAACTGTAACACACTCAATGTTCTTTGGCACATTGCCAGGCATAGAAACAGTCGCAGGAATGGGGAATACAGTACAGCCTGGCGAATACAGTCAATAATACTGCGATCACCACACATGGTGTCAGCGGCACGGATGCCGGAGTTACCCAGGTGATCACTTCTTAAGTCATATAAACGTGCCTAATCAATACACTGTACACCTGAAACTAATACGACATTGTGTGTCAACTATGATTTTAAATTTTTAAAATAATTTTTTAAAATAAGTAAGTACTTTGACTCAAACGACTAAAGAAAGTTCACCCACTGAGTGTTTTCACGGAGGCCCCATCTGTGAGCAATCGCTGCTATTGGCAGACCAGCTGCCTGTGAAGTCGAGGCCCAGGAGGGACCCCCACGCAGCGGCTCACCCCCTGCCCGACACCACTGCCCCCCTCCAGTCAGCCAGGAAAACCGACTCCGCAAGTGCTCCTGCCACCAACAACAGAAGCTGACATTTAGTCTGATTCACGAATCGACTCCTGGTGCAAACCACACTGGGCCGGCGAAACGCAGTGTCCTACTGCAGGCTGACACCTCTGCACAGAAAGTGCTTCTCCCTGGTGTCTGGTGCACAATCTGACACGGAGGCAGCCCCGGTGAAGATGACCCACGGGGAGAAGCTGTCCTGATTCAACCGTGGGCGCGGAAAAAGCCCTCCGCCCGCAAGGCTCTCCCGGGGCCTCGTGGTCAAACGGACGGAGGCGGGCGAGCAGGAGGAAGCAGCACATGTCATCACACGCTGTTTAGCCGGTTGGCTCACGGGAACCTAAAATTCCGTTCTGGTCACCATGCCATTCATGACACTGTTCCCACGGGAAGTATGCTTTTAGTTTCAATCAGCTGTTGAACGAGTTTCTAGGAATTTCTAGATTTCTACTTCAAGGAAGAAACGCAGGCCTTCTCTGCAACAGCCCTGAAATGCCACCTGTCAGCACAGGTGGACTCAGGGACTTCGAAGGAAAAACCCGATTCCGTGGCGATGGCATGGGACAAGTGGCGAGGGCCACTGCACCGCGGCTCATAATCTCGCCTTGTCCGTGGCTCAGAGCCTGCGGATGGCGGCTGAAGAGTGAATGCTTTCAGCCATCCTGCCTGCTCCTCCCCAGGGGGGGGTGTGCATGCTGGCACCCACACTGAGCCCCGCTACGCCAGGCAGCCCTGCCTGAGAGCTGGTGCTGCTGGGCAGTTCTCCATAGAGAACACGGGCATGGCTTTTGACTCCAGGGGCGCCGCTGCCAAGCCCACCCGCTGCCCCCTGGTTTTCCGAGAGGAATTGTGCAGGTGAGACAGCTCAGCTTCAGAATCAACGATCAGCCCTGCATCAGCCCAGGAGGCCCCGGAGCCGCAGCCTTCAAACCCCTGGAGGACAGCAGATGGGGCTTCCTCAGCCTGAGGGCTCCCCACCGCGCTGACGCCAACTCCAGGATCGCTGCCCGGCCGCTTGGACACCCAGGCCCAGCAATGAGGGTTAACGCCGCAGCAGGGTGTGGCACCTAGTGTTCCACTTGAACTTAACATCTGCCTAAGATGCAGGCAACGCTCCTGGAGGCGGCGTGGCTGGCAACTTCGGGGGCAGGGCTGGCAGGGCTGGCATTCCCGCGCTGCTGGTGTCCACACGCCCCCCAAGAGCCGGCCCCCACTCTCTCCAGCTGGGCCTCCGGCCTTCCCACTGACCCACCCCGTGTCTGTCCCTCGCTGGTGTGCAGCGCCTACGGGAGGGAGCAGGGCCGACAGCGAAAGAAAAGTACCTTCTCAAGATTTAAACACAGAGCCTGGGATAAGGGGACAAAGGGCACGATGTCTGGAAGTTGGCTTTAAAACATTCCAGGGCTGGGAGTGAAGGCACAGGGGAGGGACGCCAGGTGAATGGAAAGAGACCAGGCAGCGTGGAAGCTGGGCGGGCCCCTGAGTTCACTGAGTTATACTCTCTCCTTTGTCCAGGTTTTAAAATGTCCATGATCAAGGTAATGAATAAATAAGTTCACTTTTAACGTCAAAATTCCCTTCCCCAGGCTCCCCACCCCAGCAAGGAGCAGCGAGACCCACCCTCGGACTCTCATGGGGCTTCCCCCAAAGCCTCCAGCCACCTTCCAGGCCAGGAAAGGACATGCCTGGGATGTCGGCCATCCCGCTCTCATGGAATCCCGCAACCTGTTCCCCTTTTACTTCAGCGGCACCGGAGGCTACATACGGAAACGGCAGGCTGCTGGCCAGAGCGGCGGGCTCACCTGCCAGAGGTCCCCCGTGGAGGCGCTGAGGACGAGGGCCGGGACGATCATGAAGCAGGCGTTGTAGAAGAGCACTCCGTACTGGCCCAGCTCCTGCGACAACGGAAACTCCGCTCAGCAGCCGGTTCATCGCTGCCGTGAGCGTGTGCGGTTAGCAGGGGCACCCTGACCAGCTCTGGAGCGGACTATTTCCAGCACATTTCTGACATAAAGTGCTCCCCTTCAAGTGCACTGTCATCTCAGAATAAACATTCGTTTCACACGAAAAGGACAGATAAAACGGAGGGAGATGGATGACCTCCAAGGTTCCACCCTTCTCTGACATTCTAACTTTTTTTAAAGCAGGCTATTAAAAATAGGAACTCTGGGACAAAATAAAGAACATAAAAAAATGTTAATATATTGCCCTAGCCAGTTTGGCTCAGTGGATAAAGCATCGGCTTAGGTACTTGCAGGAGGCAGCCAATCAATGATTCTCTCTCATCATTGATGTTTCTATCTCTCTCTCCTCCCTTCCTCTCTGAAATCAATAAGAAAGGAGGGAGGGAGGGAGAGAGAGAGAGAGAGAGGGAGAGGGAGAGGGAGGGAGAGGGAGAAAGTTTTTTCCAGCTTTGGCCTTGCGAGCTCTTTTTTAAAAAAAAGTTAATATAAACAGAACTCCTTAGAAACATCTGCTCTTTCCATCGAAGAACCGCAGGTTAAGACACCAGGTATCTCATGTCCCAATCTCCCATAAATTTACTTCATTAAAGTGGCTCCACCACTTCTCCACCACTTTCCATACGGGGTGACATACTGTGACTCTCAAAAGGCAACAAACCTGCTTTTGTAAAACTGCCGGCACCAAAGAACAGACGGCTGTGCAGAGAAAGGCAGCCCGTGAACGCAGCCGGGGGAATGAGCCTGTCATCAGAGCAACCCCCTCCCCGACACAAAGAACGTGGAACAAAGAAACGCATGTCTGGCTCATCCTCGGAGTTTCCAGAACAGCTGGGTGGGGAGAGGGCTGGGGCCTCCACGGAGGCAGCAACTCAGAAGGAAAGCTCATCTGCCCACCAGCCCTCGGGACTGCGGACAGGACTTAGCCGCTGCCTTGCCCACAGAGGAGGAAACGGAGTTTTGAGGAAGTCAGGCTGATAGTCACAATGGCCCCGGGAAGCAGCAGACTTCACTGTGGCCCTCATCCCAGACTCTCATGCTGGAGTTGCTCTCAGTCTCCCTGTCGCAGAGGATGATGGGGAAAAGCTGCTTTTAACTGTAATTTACCTTTCAAAACAATCCCTTTTATATATTCTGACTTTGCTTCAAAAGAGTGGCATCTTTTCCTGTCCAATCTAATTTTCAACAAAAACTTTGCAAGGCGATGAGTCACAAGAAACTATATGGACAAGATCACTGAAAAGAAATGAGGGACATTGTGTAAATGACATTTCTTGCCAACTTTACAACTCATTTTCTGTTTTCACGTAAGTTCAGGGCCAGGTGACACAGCCTGAGACACAGGAGGGAGAGACGGTACCTTCGGGTCCATCTTCTGCTTCGTGTAGACCCCATTGGCTGCTGTGAAGATGTCATTCAGGAGCACAAACACGTAGCCTTCCAAGTTAAAGGCCAGGTCGGAACTGGGAGGGAGAGCAGAGGAGGGTGATTCAGAAGCTCACAGCTTGGCCCCACGTCCATCTTTCCCTGACAGATCCGCGGTGATGCTAGTAATTACCTCCCCCCCGCCCCCCGCGGTGAACGCCCACTGCTCGGCTTGGCCTCCAGACAAAACCAGGCCATCAGGCGGCTTCGCCTCCATCGCGAATGGCTTAAACCCAGAGGACATTAACGGTCCTGTAACTGCAAAGCCCTTTCTTTGGCTGACGGACCAGCTGGCATGTCTGCTGAGCCCTGCTTTTCTAAGGGGAATGACTCTACCACACACCCAGCGGCCGTTGCTTATGGTAGCGAACAGGGCCATCCCCAGGGTCCAGCCGTGGGGACAGCTGGGCAGTGACTGGGGCAAGAGGAGTCGCTGGAGAAACTGACGCCTCCATCTGGTGCCCAGTCACACACCGCACCCCCAGCACCTTGTCCGCCCAAAAGGCCAAGCAGGGGCCCATGCTTTCTCTGCGGCTCCTCTGTGGCTCCCCTCCTCCCACTCGTTTGAAGATCTCCTCCATTCCCACTTTAAATAGGTGAGACTAGCATGAAAATGTGTCGGGGCATGTGGCGTAGGGAAGAGAGGACAGCTGTTCAGCCAGGCTGCCATTCGTCCCGCTGCCCTGGACCTTCCAGGTGGCGTCAGACCCACGTCCTAAGTTACAGACAGACACTGCCCAGGAGGCCCTCGGCCCTCTCAGGGTCGGTGACTGGGGCCTGCGAATGTGACTGGCAACGGACAGGTGAGCAGTAGAACTAGGTATGCAAATTGTAGTCACATTTTATGTGTACAGAGTCCACAGAGACAAAGTGGAAGTCCATGCAGCTGTGGACTCGGGGCTTATAAGCCATTTTAACAAAGAAGAGGGTTTAGGTTTGGAGGAACAAATACACTGCAGGAGAGGGACCGGGCCATCCCTGGGGAAGCTCAGGAGGGGCAGGGTTGTCTGAGGGAGGCCTGTTATGCTGACTCCTCACCGCCCGGGGCAATAACTGCCTTCCCGTCTCTGGGGGAGGACCGGCCACCTCACCGGGAGAAGTGTGGCCGCTCGTAGGCAGAAAGGGGAGGGCAGAGAATTCCTACACCTGTTGACTCTCCACTGCCTTCCACTCAAAATAATGCTTATGCCAAAGTGGCCTACTTTGGAGCAGCATACCCTGATCCCCTTCAACATCAAAACAAGATAATCTCTAACCAAAGAGGAGGGAGTAGAGAGGGGCCAAAACTGCACCAACATATGAACACAAATTAAACTAGATTTTGCTTGAAGCTTCCACTGGCATTAGCATCTACAAATATATTTGTGAGAAAGTAAATTAATTTTAGATCACCGTAAATCAGAATTCTCTGGCTCAGTCACAGAAATAGAGTCTCTCAAAATAAGGGTTCAAACCTCCCGCCTACGCACATTTGGCTCAGTGTTTAAAAGGTGGCCGTTCCCTAACTTGGCAGAGTTGAATGAGCAAAAAGCCAGGCTTCTCCGAGGGAGGGAGGGAGGTGGAGCTCACTTCCTCAGGAGCTGAGGGTTCCCGGGAGCTCTCAGATCTCTCGGGGGCTGGGGGTGGGGGCGTAGTTCCAAAAGTCATCTGTTTAGGCCAGTAGTAAAAGCACAGAGGTTTGAGAAGAATTTACTTGTTTATAAATGCGCAGAGTCATGGTTAACCCTTGTGGCTCATCTAGGGTTGTTCACACACATTCTATTTCAACTTCTTCTAGACATGTGCCTTGATTTGGCAAATAAAATGTCAGAGGAATTAACTCATTGCTGTGGGCCAAAGTGTGCAGAGTTGGTGCACAGTCCCCCACAGGCCCTCTCCTGGCCCGGGGGAGGCAGGGTCCCTCAACCTGGATCCCTGAAGCTACACTGAGCAGAGCACACACAGCATGAGCTGGTGTTGGTTCGCAGCGTTGCGGGAGCCGACTATGTGCAGCATGCTAAACCACCGATCTGAGATGTGGGGGCTGTTTGTTACAGCAGCAGGAGTTGGCTGATCCAACTGAGTCCATTCTAGAATTACTTGCATTTGGATGAGTTCATCTCAGTGAGAGGGAGAAGGTGGGGTCTCAGCTGGCCTACCGCTCGGAACTGCATTTGTCACCCACCAGGATGGTATCCAGCCTGCGGGTGCTGAGAAGGGGGGAAATCGAGACTCATGTTCCCAGCTGGCTCCCAGGTTGTGTTGGACATTTGGGAAGCACGCCACCCTTCCCGCTCATTAGGGTGCCACGCAGATTAACGATGAGCTGAATTTCCACAAAATGGTTCTGGAATGTGCTTTCCTGCATGCAGCACCCGAAGTGCCATTCCTCACCACAGGCTCACAGACATTCTTACAAACCAGTTTCTGTAAAAGTCTTCCACTGGCTCCAGGTCAGCGGTTTCACACCGAGCTCTGAGACCCAGAAGGGGAGGCTGCGTGGAGACCCCGGAGCACTGTGGGAGGAGAGCATGCTAACGGAGCACACCCCTTTCTTAGCTACTTGACTCATCTGATTTTGTTTGAGTAAAAGTCTTCATGATTAAGGTGGGCTTTCAAATGCCAACGTGGAGTTCTCACTCCTGGTCTTGCATATCAGGGAGTAAGATCGGAGGCATGCCTGGCACTGGCTCTGGTCTCAAACATACCTAAACTTTTCATGAGAGGTTCTGCCCTTGGAGTACTGACTCCTCAGGCATCACAGCACTCGAGGGCTATATGAATCGGCTATTCTTCTTGATCAAATGCCCAAGTTTTCAAGTAAAATTTTATACTGAAGGCAAATACTCAGTAATGAAAGCAACCAGTTCAGTCCTTTTTATGAAGGAAAGCTGCATTGATATCGTATAACGCTCTCTTTGTATGTCCTCAGACATGTTCTGGCCCACACGGAATCCAGCTTGGCTTTCACAGGAACACACGGGGGTCCCCCTGACATCAACGGATCTGTCTCTTGGCTGCTCAGCCAGATGGGAAATAAAAGCGAGAGCGGGCTGGGCCTATTGTCAAAGACAAAGAAGTTACTGAGCAGAAACTGCCCAAAGTCTTACCCAGCTGCTATGAAAGCACCGAGAACGATGGCAAAGACGCTGATGATGATGTTCAAGGGATACTGTTTCCTGTCACAGATAAATAGATGGTTAGCTAGGCAGACAGACAGACCAAGGAAAGAAGGAGCGGGAAAACATATGGACTCTATTTTTAAAACAAACTGACAATAGACATTGTTAACCGTTTTATAGCTAAAATCTAAGGAATACTGCTTTACCCAGAGAAAGCATTAGAAAAGTATCTTTAAGGAGATGAGTAAGTCAAACCAAATTTACTGTGTTTCCTAAGCAACTGCCTGAATCCGGTTATGAGTGTCTTTCTCTGTTCTCACTGGAGAGATGCTGAGACAAAATGCAGGACAGCTCGTGCCGGTGGGGCTAGTCAGTATGTACTTTATCAAGCACCCAAAGGTTAACTCAACAGCAGGATTTAAAGCACTGAGCCATCACCCAAATTTCATGGTTAAACAATCTGCACAGCAAATCAGGAATGGCCCCTTTGAGTGTCAACCTGAGTATCCTTATGAGAAATTTCTAAACCAACATTCTAAAATCCAACTTCCTCTAATTATGTCACATCATAATCTCTGCATCAGAGTGGGTGTCGCAGCTCACCTCCCTCCTACCCTCACAGTTTTGTGTGGACAACTGTTCCTCTGTGTTCCAAAATCAGTGTACATTCCCTCTGGATCAAGAAACATTTACATCTATTTGGTGGTGGTGGCTTTTTATAAAAATCTACCACAAACATGCATTATTTTTCTAATGTAAAACTACAATAAAAAAATCACTCATGACTTGGTTAGTGTGGCAAAGTTGGTTGGACATCATCCCATACACCAAAGATTATGGGCTCCATCCCTAGTTGGGGATGCATTTGGGAGGCAATCCATGGATGTTTCGCTCTCTCTCTCCCTTCCTCTCCCTCTCAAATCAATGAAAACATATCCTCAGGTGAGGATTTTTTTCAAAATCACTCGCCCTAGCCAGTTTGGCTCAGTGTATAGAGTGTTGGCCCTCAGACTGAAGAATCCCAGGTTCAATTCCTGGTCAAGATCAGGTACCTGGGTTTCAGGCTCGATCCCCAGTCCCCGTCAGGGTGCGTGTGGGGGGCAACCAACTGACTTGTCTCGTTCACATCAACGTTTCTCTCTCTGTCTCTCCCCCCTCACTTCCACTCTCTGTAGGAAAATCAATGGCAAAAATATCCTCTGGTGAAGATAACAAAACAAAACAAATCTTTCATGAAGTTGGTAGGGAATCATGAAAACAGGAGACTGCTTGTAAGTTAAACTATTTGTCCTTAAGTTACAGCTACTAGGAATTCAAACCCACTGTGTGGAAAGAGGACGGGATGTTGAGGATTTGCTAGGGAAAAAGACCACAGGGAAGGGAGAGTGGAGTCGAGGAACCGAGGAAAAGGCCGTCACCCGAGTATGATGGTTTCCAGGAGTAGAGTCAGCGGGATGGTAAACTTCCTGAGCACGGTGAACATCGGCAGGCTGTCGGGGAGGGTGCAGGCAGAACCACATCAGACACCAAGACAGGTTTCACATGTTTCACATTTTTATTTAAGGCACCAATTTTCCAAATGAATATGAGGAATTAATCTTATTCTCACATATACTACTACTAACAAATCACATTAAATAATTCTAAAAATGGAGATGAAATGCTTTCATGCCACTTTCACTCATTAGCTATTTAAAACAACATAACATCCAACTACTACAAAACTGCTAAAGCTAGTATACAATGTGAAGAACCAATGGACCCTTTGGCAAAGCAAACTGGGACTATCTATCAAGAGTCATTAAATGGGCCCTGGCAGGTGACTCAATTGGTTGGAGCATCTGGTAGACCTAAAGTTGTGGCTTCCATTCCTGATCAGGGCACATACCTAGGTTGTGGGTTTGATCCCTGGTTGGGGCGCCCATGGGAGGCAATCTCTCTCTCTCTCTCTCTCTCTCTCTCTCACATTTTTATCCTTGGGTGAGTAAAAATTCTCTCTCTGTCTGGCTCTCTTCCTCTGTTCCTTTCTTCTCTCTATAAAATCAATAAACATACCCTCAGGTGAGAATTTTAAAAAGTATTAATGAAAAAAAAGCAGGCAAGGTACACTTAATGATCAAAAGTTAAATGTTTTCCCCCTAAGATTAAGACCAGGAGGTTCTCTCTCACCACTAAGTCTATTCACTATTATAATTGAAGTCCTAAGAGGGCAATTAGGCAAAAAAAAAAAAAAAAAAAAGACAGGGAAGGGGAAAAAAGCATACAGTTTTGAAAAGAAGAAAGAAACGTATCTTTATTTGCAGAGCATATATTTAGAAAAGCCTAAGGAACTCATTTAATAATTATTACAACTAATGAACTAAGCAAGTATGCAAGAAACAAAATGAATCTACAAAAGTCAATTGTATTTATATTCACTCTCAATGAACAATCCAAAAGAAAATTAAAACATTCCACTTGGATAGCATCAAAAAGAACAAAATTCTTAGGAATAATTTTTTTAAAATATATTTCTATTGATTTCAGAGAGGAAGGGAGAGGGGGAGAGACACAGAAACATCAATGATGAGAGAGAACCATTGATTGGCTGCTTCCTGCACGCCCCCAACTGGGGATCGAGCCCGCAACCCGGGCATATGCCCTTGACTGGAATCGAATCTGGGACCCTTCAGTTCACAGTCCAACGCTCTATCCACTGAGCCAAACTAGCTAGGGCAGGAATAAATTTAACAACAGAAGTGTAAGACTTCTACACTAAAAACTACAAAATAGCCCTGGCTGGTGAGACTCAGTTTGTTAGAGTGCCATCCCATACATCAAAAGGTTGCAGGTTCAATTCCCAGTCAGGAAATTGAAGTTTGCAGGTTTGAGCCCTGGCCGGGATGCATACCAGAGGCAACAGATTGATGTTTTTCTCTCTTCTTCTCTCTCTAAGAAATCATTAAAAACATATCCTCAGGTAAGAATTGCAAAAAAGAAGAAAGGAAAAAATACTACAAAATATTGCTGAAAGATGAAAGATGATAAAATAGAAAGACACTTCATGTTTATGGATCAGAAGGCTTATTGTTGTTAAAATGGAAATACTCCCCCAAATGGATCTATGGATGCAACACAATCACTATCAAAACCTCAGATGGCATTTTCCCCCAAGAAATTGACAAGCTGATTCTAAAATTAACATGGAAAGGCAAGAAAGCTAGAAAGCCAAAACAATATTTTAAAAAGAACAGAATTGGTGAACTGAAGTTCAAAACTTACTATAAACCTACAATAATCAGTACTCATTTAAGGATAGACATATAACCAATCGAATAGGATCAATAATCAATCAATAAATCCTTGAGGGTGTGTGCGGGAGGCAACCTTTCACATGGATTTATATTCTCTCTCCCTTTCTCTCCCTGTAAAAATCAATTTTTTAAAAAAGTATTTAGGAGAAGCGTCCCTAGCAACAGTCCAATAAAGAGAGGACTTGGGTGCCAGAGCACCCCCTTGGGAATTGTTTTGGAAGTGAGTTGAGCTGTTGGTCGCTGCCATGGAGTCTTGAGAAGCTCAGCATCAGACTGAAATGAAAGATGGCGGCAGAGTAAGTGGGTGCTGCACGGACATGCTCCCAGGAACAAACTGGAATTACAACTAAAATACAGAAAAATTTCCTGAATAATCCATGGAAGATTCACAGGAGAGAACCCTGATACTGCATAGGGACTGGTAGGAGGGGTGGAGGTGCAAGAGGGCTGGCCGGGCACCCCAGACAGCAACCGAAGTTCTGAAGAGATATCTCAGCTGTGGGGGGAGCCGCTGAGAACTCTGGGGTCTAATCCCCAAGCTGGGCCCCCAGCAGAGAGCACCAGAACTGAGAAGGGTGCCCACACAACATCTGGCAGTGAAAGCAGCAGGGTGGCCGTCTGCCAGGGAGAGACCTGGAAATACAGGCACCCTCTTAAAGGACCAACACACAAAATTCCCTGTGGAGCCACCCACCTTGTGCTCTGGCAGAGTGGACTGGAGCAGTGTCAGCAGAAGCCAGGATTGGGGACTTGGGGTTAGAGCTCAGAAGGCAGACACCCCCAGTTTCCTGGGTGAGTCATTCCCTCATGCATAGGAGGACATCTTTCCCACATAGTCATCTGCCTCGCCTCGGGGGAAGATAGTTGACACACCCTATTGGAAAACACCTTGCCCTGAGGCCATTTAAGAGATTAAAAGTAACAATTAGCCTCCAGGCAGAAGCAACTGCCCCACCCTGTTGAAAAAAGTCTCCGCCACACCTGAGGATGATTGCCTGGGGGCAATTGAAGTCGGAATCCTATTAGCCTGTAGACAGAGGCGGTCTCTGGAGGCTTTGAGTCTTTGCCTGATCCAAGTGGTCAGAAACAGCATTTGATACTGTCCTGCACTAGAGAGTGACAGGCAAAGAGGACCTACCTAATACATAGCCACAAACCAAAACAAACAGCCAAAATGAGGAGACAAAGAAACAACCCCCAAATGAAAGAACATGAGAATTCTCCAGAAGAGATAAATGAAGCAGAGATAAGAAATTTATCTGAAATAGAGTTCAGAGTAATGATAGTAAAGATGCTCAACAGCATGAAAAAAGATATAGTTACTATGAAAAAATGAAATAAATCCGTACAATTATGGTCAATTGGATCACAACATGAGGAACTGTATTTAAAGGGCCAGAAGGTTGAGAACCACTGATCTAGACCCATTATTTCCACTCCAAATTGCAAAATGGTGACTTTCTAACTATATCACACCTTCTACATTTCCTGTCTAAACTTCTCCAATAAATACAAATTTTCACCATTTCACACAGGAAAGACAGGATAAAAGCATCATTTATAAAGGTCCAGAGTCATAATAGTGTTCTGTCACCTTCATTGGTAACCAGTAAGAGTTGTTTTTGCTGTCATTATGAACTCACAAATTTTCATTTACTTGATACAAGTCCTTTATCAGATATGTGTTTGCAAGTATTTTCTCTCAGCCTGTGGCATGTCATTTTCTTAGCACTGTCTTTCAGAGCAAATGCTTTAACTTTTCATGAAGTTCTGCTTTCATTTTTTTTTTTAATGGACTGTACTTTTGGTGTTGTATTTAAAAACTCATTGCCAAACCCAAGGCCATCTAGATTTTCTCTTAAGTTTTCTTCCAGAAGCTTTATAGCTTACATTTCACATTTAGGTGTACAATCATTTTGAAGTTAATTTTGGGAAAGATGTAAGGCCTGTGTCTAAAAACAGTTTCCCGTGTGTAGATGTCCAGTTGTTTGAGCACTAATTGTTGAAAAGACACTCTTTTCTGCTGGTGGGAATGTAAACTGGTACAGTATGAAGGTTCCTCAAAAAATTAAAAATAGAGCTACCATAAGACCCACAATCCCTCTTCTGGGTATCTACCCCCAAAAAAGAAGATGTGGTCCATATATACAATGAAATAATACTCAGCCATAAAAAAAAAAAGATAAAATACTGCCATTTACAACAACATGGAAAGCTCTTAAGTAAAATAAGTCAGATGGGAAAGGACAAGAACCATGTGGTTTCACTCATATATTCAATATAAAACAAAAAAGCAACAAATGAAGAAACGAAACAAATTAAAAAAGAAAAAAGCTCACAGATAGAGACAACAGAATGGTGGTTACCAGAGGGGAAAGGAGCTGAGGGGAGGATACAGAGGGTAAAGGGGGCCAAATACAGGTGGGGCAAAAGTGGGTTTACAGCTGCAAGTATGCAAAACACAGAGTTCATTCTTGTTTTATTATTTTTTTGGTCTTTGTATTATTTTCCATATGAACAACTGTAAACCTACGTTTGCCCCACCCTGTATATGGTAACAAAAGGAGACTAGAAGTCAGGTAGTAAGCACACAACACAGTATATGGATGTTGTATTATAAAGTTGTACACCCAAAATTTATATCATGCTATTAAGCAATGTTACCCCAACAAATTTAATTTTTAAAAAAAAAAAGATGTTGCCCTAACCAGTTTGGCTCAGTGGATAGAGCGTCGGCCTGCGGACTCAAGAGTCCCAGGTTCGATTCCGGTCAAGGGCATGTACCTTGGTTGTGGGCACATCCCCAGTAGGGGGTGTGCAGGAGGCAGCTGATTGATGTTTCTCTCTCATCGATGTTTCTAACTCTCTACCCCTCTCCCTTCCTCTCTGTAAAAAATCAAAAATATATATTTTTAAAAAGATGTTTCCACTAGGATCACTAAAAAAAGAAGCCCTCATCTGGGAGGCAGAGCCCCCGAATGTGAGAGGTGGCAGCTGTCAGCTAGCTGAGGGCTCCCCCAGAGCTGAAGGTAAACTCAGAGGAAGCCGAAGAGGACACATGTTAAGACGGCAAAAACACCCACCTTAGGGAGCTCTAAAACAAATTTGGGACAATTAAGGAAAAATGATTGCCCTGATCTCAGAAGGAAACAACAAACCAACTAAAATGTTTAACTGAAGTCCTGCCACTGTGGCTC